TAATGAGTCTCGTCAAATAGATTTAAATATTTGAGTAATTCTACCAGAACGGAATTCTATTGAAGACCTACAATCACAGCCTCGCGCCCGTTCTATGAAGCCCCATACAAGTTAAACAGCAGTGTTTTAATTTGCTCAATGTGATGCAGTCTTCCTCAAGTTTTTCTCTAATGTCTTTGTTTCGTGGTTTCAGCCATGGTTCGTTTGTTTATGAACTATGTTGTTACCTGTAAGAGTGCAAATGAAACTTTTTTTGTGGTATGTTTGTACATTTCATGTTTTTCTTCTACTTTCTTTTGTTGAAAAATGCAATTCTTCAGTGACCCCATTGAAGCATCAAGCGTTTATTCATTTATTCGAAATATATGGCATTATTTCAGAGTCTGTTTAATCCACTGAAGATATGGTACCACTTTAGTGTAAACTCCAGGTGCCTCGGGTAAACCGCAATTTTCGCCGAAAGACGTAACACCATAAAGAATCCACCGGTAAGTAGTTGTGTCAAGGGCATTCAGTGGGCCGCCGCTGTCACGCTAAAAAGCAACGTTTAACGCTTTACATGAATTTCTCAGACTCTTCTACAGTAATTTAGATCAAACGACTCAGCACTGTGCAAAACAAAAGTGCCTTAGGTTAAAGCGTACACGGAGGGGAGTTTGTGCTCTTCGGTCTGCTAGATTGCTGCCAGAGTCCTGCCAGATTTGTTTGAGCTTGTAGTCTACTTTTGCACTATTACGTGTAGACAAACAATACATCGTTTTGCATCACTCAGTTTAATATGCATCATGTAGAACAACCTCTTCAGAAAAATTAGGCAACTGACTGTATGTAGTGTTGATGGAAGCCTGGATCAGGAGGTTTTATGAGTCTTCAACAGATTTCAACTGGGCCATAAAGCAAATCATGCTACCTCAACTTTCTCTTTGCTTCTCACTGTATTGAAGACGATGCCGCGGAAGAAGTGCTTGTTTATTCTTCTGTCCTATCAGTTCCATGTCAGTTCTAATGAGACTTTCCCATCTTGTTGGAGGTATTCTTAGCGGCCGCCTGCCTTCCTTCCCTGCATTCGGTAATCGCATCGTAGGGCCGCTATCACCTATTCACTGGCAGTGACCCCTTCATCTTGAATGTCGTGTTTTATACAGTCGATCCTTTTAGTTGGCTATTGTGATTTGTGTCTTACAACAGCATTTGATAGCAGACAGTATCGAGCTCTTCCTAATGATGATATTAAAATGTTCATTTCCGTCGCTTTCATCTTTTCGCTTTTTGCCTTCAGCTCAATTTGTGCTACCACCCCTAAGCATAGTGGCGCTGTTGCGAATTCAAGCCCTTTAGAGTGTCCGCAGAGTCTAGGTGTTATCAACATCTTTGACCTTCCAGAGTGTGAACAACTTG